TGGATATTTAGAAATGTAAACTATCTTATTGTTTTTTTATTAACAAAACCTTTGAGCTATTCATATACTTCTGCTTGCCTTCATTTTACAAATCACCATAACTTCTAGTGGCACTGAACATGAGTAGTTATGTGCCTATAACTTTGAAAACTAAATTGTGCCATCCAAAAACAAAAGAATAGTTCATTTAAAATTGTCTAGTGTAGAGAAAGATATTAATTTGTACATTAAACTAATATAACACTCACATATTAATAAAACACAAAGACTTCTGGGCTTCTAGGAAATAAAAAGTTGAAGCTGCCTATCAAAATTTATTCATTTATTTATTAAACAATTTACAATCTATGGCCATGGTTCTCTTTGGGTGGCTGACAATATATTAAGAGTCCAAAACCAAAAGTTAAAACAATCCCAGAATATCCAAGCAGTATACAATACACACAAAAAGCTCCCCTATCTCTTTCAAGCACATAAAATCAGGCTCACCAAAGAACTTGGCCCCAGCTTTTGGGCAAAGATTCATGTTTTCAAGGTTCTCCTAAAGCCTCATAAGTTCAGGGCCATCCAAATCTCAAGGGGAAATGCATATCTCCTTGTTCCCACTAAATGACACTACTATGCAGAAGGGGCCCAGAGCAAACCAACTTTGCCAGATCTGATGGAACAAGCACAAACCATCTCAATAGTTGGTCCCTGTGCCAAGTAGGGTCATAATCAGCTTCTTGAATTGTATCTGGAAGCCTACGGAGAACCAGTGCAGCACACAGAGCAGCTGAATCAAATGGGTGTCCCATATTGTGTCCAAAACAGCTTTAGCTTCCAATGCTCTTTAAGAACAGTCCTATTCATAATTCCAAGTTGGAAGTGATTAGGGGATGAATAATCATGACCAAGGTCTGAGGTCTAAGAATATGCCCGATTAACGGACAGAATGGATTTGTCCAAAGGTCCTTTTAGCCTTAGCTGCCCTTTGTTCCATAAGCAAGGCTCCAAACTTTGCAGTGACTTCATCTGGAGCAGTGCTATGCCCTTCTAAGTTAAAACATTTCCCTCAGCCAAACTCTGTCCTCCCCCGTTCCAATTCCACAGTATTCAGGCATTGGGAAAGAATTCTGACAATATCACTTAACTAGCCAGAAGTGGAGCTGTATATAATTGAATATTATCTGCATGTTATATTTTGCCTTCTATCAACAGAAGACCTCCCAAATGTTTTCATGAAGACGCAGAACAGAAGGTGGGAGAAAATAGAAACATGACACTCCACAAAGTAGAGATTTAGCACTTCTACATCCACCAATACTGATAGCAACCAGCCCCCTAAAAAGGAAGAGAACCAGCACAGAAGGGTGTCCCCCACTCCTAAATCCCTAAGTTGGTTGCAAAGGATACCATGCTTGATAGTATTATAAATCACAGGGTGGTTAAAATGGGTAACTTATCCCATCCTAAACCCAGAAGACGTTTTCAACAAGTACAACAAATGTAACTCCAGTGCTATAACCAGGTCTGAACCTGCTTAAAAGTATGAAGATAATGCATTTTCTAAGAGATCTTTGGAACTGAAAGCCAACCATCTTCTGAATAACCTTACATAAAAAGGGAAAGTTGTAAACCAAAGTGTTCCATTCTTTTGTATCTAGTGATTGCTCCCGCCCACACTATCTTTGGAAGGGACCCTGAAGGTCTTCTAGTCCAACCCCCTGTTCAAACAGAGGGTCACCATGGTGAACATGCCATGGATAACTCACTATGGCCAACTCACCACAGCCAACTTGCCATGGCCAACTCACTGCAGGATAACTTGCCATGGCCATCTTATCAAGGACAACTCACTGCAGGACAAGAGTTATACTAATATCAAAGAAAGGGAGGAATAGAATCATTAAAGAAAGATGCAAAAGGAGGGACAGAATGAAATGTGATTGGCAAAAATTTAAATAATTTTTATTTATTGTAAATAATTGAATAAAATTGCTAAATTGTCCAGTAGCAATTTGTCCTGTGGTGACTTAGAGATTAAGAACTTCACAACAAGGAAATTACTACAGGTAATCTTTGACAACTTGTTCAGAAACCATTCAAAGTCCTAACAGTACTGAACAAGGACTTACAACTGATTGCCAATTTGCAGGCATTGCAGCATCCCCATGGTCATATAATTGTGATTCTGGCACTCAGTGTCCTTGTGATTATTACATTGTAGTGAGCCACGGTCATATGATTGTGATTTCCTTTTTTTTAAATAAATTTTTATTTGGGTTTTCACAAAACAAAACAAAACATCTTTTTTTGTTCCAGGTTTTCACATCTCCATACAGATATAACCTCAGTTACATATTCATCTTTCATATTCAGTTTTATATTTTATCACTACTTTATATATTCTCTATTGATTTTTCCCTTAAATACTTCCCTCAGACTTATTTTATAGCTTTCTCATTCATTTCTAAGTCTATTACATTTCCTTTTCAAAATGTTCATATCTTCATAATAATTCTACTTGTACTTTTATCTGTCCTGTTTACAATTTCATTACATATTCTTATTTCATCATTGCCCCAAAAATTCCTCCACATTTCAAACATTACAAAACAAGGTTTCCCCTATGGTTGCCAATTAGAGTATGTCATCTTCATATCTTATAATTAGTTCCCTTTCAAATCCCATTAAACATTCAACTTTTAAATTGTCCCCTTAAACAGTCATAACATTCAGCTCCTATTAACTATATTATAACATATATCCTTTTCAGTCAGATTCCGCATGGTACTTTCCCCTTAAAGTTACCTCCAATACACTTTAAATTTCAAAAAAAAGTAAAGAACATAATTAATCTATTCAAATTCACCCTAGAAACTGATATTGATCTCATTACAATCATTCTCATAATTCATTTCAATTATATTTTATAAATCATTAAATATAATTAATATACATATTTTCATACCTCTCTTTTCACCTTATAATCTTCCTACAATAATCCTTCATTTCAATTCATTTCAATAAGATTCCATATATTAACTAATATATTTCTCTTGGTTTCCCTTCTTTCACCTTTATTCCATTTATCTCTATATTTAATTTGACTGTTAGCAAACATTCCATTGATTAACAATACCAGTTTCATCTTCCACTTTAATAACATATATTTTCCAATTTTCTACATAGTTTATAATTTCTAATATATTTATACTATCCCTTGTCACCTTGCAGAACCCTCTCTTAATTTTTGTTTTAAACCATTGTCTCTGTTTTTTAACCAAACTATTTCTTTTTATTCTTGTTTGTTTCCCAGGTTTCTTTATTTCTTGATTCTGTTTCTTGTAACTTCTTTTCCCCTTTATTTTTCCCCTCTTTTTCTCACACCAGTTTTTGTCCCCCTCCCTCTTTAACATTTCCTTCCGTAATTGTCCCTTCTGCTTCTTCCTTATATTTTGTTTATTTTATGAACTGTTCTCTTTTCTAATTACCTCCTCTAATCTCCAAGTTTTAATTCCCCCCCCCCCTTTTCGCTTCAAATGTTGCCCCATTTGTTCTTTATGCAGCTCTTCTTCTCCCTCTGGAACTCCTTGTTGTTCTTCATGTTTCCAATGTATCCAGAAGCAAATTCAATGGGGAAACTAGCAGGAAGTCAGATGTTGCTTCCACTCCTGCAGCTTTTTTGCTCAGTAGTGCCTGTTTGTGACATCTCCTCCATAGCACTGGTGCACTTGCCAACCTGTGATTTCCACCTCTTCCTGCAGAATGACCTGCAAGGTCCTGGGTTATGGCAACAACCAAAACTGCCAGGATTGCCGTCACTAAGTAATGTGGTCACACAACATCACACTTTACAACCACATCACTTAGAGATGGAAATTCTGGTCCTAATTGCCATCATAACCTGAGGAAACCTGCACTAGGCATGGTTGAAGGTCAAGGGAGCTTCTGACAGTGCTATTGCTGCTGCTCATCAAATACTCATTTTTTGTTATACCAAAAAAAGGACACCAAACAACAAAAATAAGACGGATCATCCCGTACCCCAGATGGATGAGCATTGTCTTAAAGACAGCAATTCTTTAGCTCAACAGAGGGATCATCAAACTTCAGATATTGCTACTAAGGTCTGATTTTATTGCAAGAAGAGTACAATAACAGACACAGAATAATGGTGATGAGTTGTGCTCATATCACATACTTCCCCATGGTAAACTGAACCATGTATTTACCTCACAAGCTAGGTTTCCACAACACATTAATCTAAAATCTATTGTAAGCTTATGGTTCAGTGCATTTTGCAAACACAACATATATAGCCTGCATAAGTACCATGTATCAATCATATTGCATCAATATCGTGTTTCAATTATATTATAGCACACAGAAGTACAGACCACAGAGAAGCAAGAGCAAAACTTCCAGCAATGTTGGCAGAACAAAACATGTTATTGTTCAGTTTCCACTGATCATTTAGCAACAACTGGTTTCCTTTTCCAGACTTCCACGTTCCCTTTTTTACATTAAGATTTCTGACCAGCATCTTTACACTGAAGGAATGTGATGATTTCATTGAGGGCCCCTCCTTTTCTTCCATCCCCCAATTATAAGTCACAGTCAATTAGTTGTTATCCCAAAATGCATCAGGATAGGATTAATTAAAACGCTCTCTCTCCCCATCCAAGGAAAACACATTTCCATATACAATTCTACAGACATGTAGAAGTAAAGTAAAGCTGACCCTTTAATATAAAGTCTTAATAGCATATAAATTAAAAATGAATTGCTCACATTTTTGTGACAAAATGAAACAAGACTTCTCCAATCCATTTGAGGGCATGTATGTCAACAGTGTCATCCTGAAAAGATGACTTAACATGAGTGCCTTTATTTCAGGATAGGCTGGAAGCCGATGTATAGCTAATGCATATTTCCCCCCTTTCAAGTTAATACTGAACAAGACAGGATATGCAAAACAGCAATAATTTAATAGAGGGTTGTGTAATTGAGCCTACCTTCTCTTTCAGATTAGCACATATTTCCTGCTGTTTTCTTCTATTATTAGCCACCATCGTTTCAGTCTCATAAGCAGTGCAAGCTTCAGCGAGAGTCATCACCGCCTTCACTATGAATGTTTTCCTAGCTTGTATCCAGTTGAACATCAGCACTCTCAATTGGTTCCTGCTAAAGTAATAGTGGTCCCAAGACTTTTCATGAGCAATCTGAAGGGGGAGCGGGGGGGAATGGAAGCAACAAAGGAAAAGCGGGGTTATTTGGGAAATAGGCAGAAATGATCTTCTAAACCCTAACAGCTAAAGGTTGCTTTAATTGGATGTTTAAAATGACCTAATTTGAAACCAAGTGAAGGTCAGCTAATAAAAGCATGAGCGAATCATGCCCTTCTCAGACACTAACAAGAGCTACTATTACCTGCAAGGCATTTATAAGGGTTAACGTAACTAAATCAACAACTCAGAAATATTTCTAATATATTGACAGGAGGCCAAAGGAAAGAATAAAAGGCATCCGCTGCAGAGAAAGCAGAGCAATTTAAAGCTAGTCTTTTCCCCAAGTTGTCTCTTGTGGATCTATTCAATTGCCTCTCCCGAAAAACAATTATTACACATTTTGTTAGTTGTATCGTTTTTGTGTACAAAAAAAGTTTGTACCAAATGCAGCAGGAATGCTGTGTAAAACTAATTGGAGAGCTATCATGGATTTCACTGTGATATGTGGAGAGTTCAATGAATGAATGTTCCATTATTTAGAAATGATTGGATGTTGCTGGGTTTCGCTTTGAGCTCAGAGAAGAAGCTGAGTTATAAATCTAAGACTGTGCACTTTTGAATACTGCCTGTTAGTGTGGGCATGTAGGCATGTTTTTTATATTATCTCACCTAGCATTTAGTTCGGATATTGAATGGCTATTTTGCTTGCCAGCTAACATTAGTGAATTTGCTGAACATTTAAACAACAGTACATTACATTTACAGTTCCAAGCAGAATTCAAAAAAAAATGTGGGACTTGTGGCCCTAATGTATTTCAACTTTCAATTCCCTTCCCCGTTAGCCATGTTGGCTGGGGCTCCTGAGAGCAATATTTCAAGGGCCATAGGTTTCCATGCCATTCTACCCAGTCGGAGGAAGTCTCAAAAAGTTGTTTCTCCTCAGGAAATGGCTGTGTGAGAGTCTGAAGACAACTTCTGTCTCTGATGGCCTCACCCTTGAAGATTTTTTTTTTTTTCCAGAGATTGGAACAGCCCCAACATTAGTCTCTAGGAAAGCCACAAAGAAACAGCTCTTTCACCAAACATGTAGAGAATTATTGATTATTTTTATTTATACCCCACCTTTATTATTTTCATTCAAGGAAGCAAACGTACTTAATACTCCTTCCCTCTATTATTTTCCCCAAGGCAACAACCTTGGAAGGTGAGTTGGGCTAGTCTATACGCAAATAAATGAATATTTTAAAAAGTGAAAAGTAATCTATACAAAAACAGGAAGTGCTCCTACATGTAAGATACAGAGTGTGTGTCAACTTCTGCCAATTTTCAGATTTGGCAGCATTTTATCATATCCTGTTGAATCCCATTCCAGGCGGTCCTCGACCTTTAGGAACAGCTACAACCATTGACAGTAAATTTAGAGGCAGATATTAAGCTTGGATGGATTTAAAAGACCGCAGGTGTGGATTTGAGAACCTGGAGGTCTGAACACAGAGCACCTTGCTTACAAACACATAATCCATTCACACACATATTATATAGTACGGTATTTCAGTGAATACCATAACCTGTTTGACAACTGACTTGTGTGAATTACGTTGCATTGTGCTCTCTTTTTTTTAAATACAAACGTATGAATGTTTTGTACTATTTTGGGAGGAATGGGATTATCTGGAACACATCTGAAAAATGACAGAGATCAAAGGAAGAGGAAAAATGAAAAGTCCCAAGTGCAATTCCATGTCTGGAGTGCTAAGTGGAATCTTACATTCAGCAACCCTATTAAAAAAGTTTTAAAACTGAATTCTCATCCCGATAACTGAATTAAAAAAAAGGAGAAGTTCCACAACTTACAAGGCTTTGTCTAGATTTGTGAGGTAGAAGTTTCTGAAGCATATCCAAATAGAGCATTCTTCTACCTTGCATGTCACTTGGATACTGACCAATGACAATCTGATATTTCCAAAGATCTTCTTTACTCCACTGGAAACTGCTGTAGGAACAAAACAGGACAAATCTAACACAATCTTACAAGCATTGTATCTTAAGCTGCTCCTCTCTTGTGTCCATGCCTGCTTGACTCTAAGCCATCTTAAGAAAACCCTGTTTGGACTGAGATGTTTTGGCAACGCGTTGTAAGGTATTCAGTCCAAATTGCAGCTACCACATCCTCCTATTGGACAATTCCCTGGTTGCTGGGCTTTCCCATCTTTCTTTTCCAGGAAAGCATTTGCCAATCCCCTTTCTTCATCTGGTTGGATCTTCCTGAGTAGATAGATATACTTCTAATTTGTTTGTCACCCAGACAAAAATAATTAAAACACATGTATACAAATATAAATGAAATTTAAAGCAACTTTATATTTAAAGCATCAACATGCATGTATTTGCAAAGTCTACTGCTGCTTCCCTGCAAAGCATTTATCCCCATTAGCCCTGGTGAAGAAGTACTTCTCCAGCCTGTTCCCAGTGTTGTGGGCGTGTGTGTATACGCATGCTGTCATCCATTCCTACCCTCCACAAATGATTACTGGTTCATGTGGGTGATGGAGCAGCTTCACAGTGTAAATAAACCCGTCATTTCCAAGAAGCAGCAATTGTCACTGAAACCATAAGAAGCTACCTTGATGCACAATCAAGTCCTATCATGAACCCTTGTGAAACTGATTGTCCATGTCCACTCATGTGCTCGGTTTGAAAGTGCTCTTTTCTCATTCGGTACAAATATATGCTTCTATGTCTAGGGCAAATTCTGATAAGACACTTATTTTGGTTGTTGTTGTTTTTATTTATTTTTTCCCCTGCAGTTCCATTTGAAGAACTAATTGTGGAGGGTGACTATTAACCACTGCCTCAGCCATCATGCAAAAATTGAGTCCTTTCTCTCTTTCTTTCTTTCTTTCTTTCTTTCTTTCTTTCTTTCTTTCTTTCTTTCTTTCTTTCTTTCTTTCTT